TGCCTTGAAGGCTCTGGATCTTCGGATCCCCGTCCCTATTCCATATCTGCTAACCATTTCCAAAGCGGCTAACAAAAAGTTGATCGAACGGTGCCTCAAAAACAGGCGCCGATTCGAGGAAAGTCGAAAGGGCAAAAAGTCGGTCCTACGGGACCCACCCGCTAACGAGGAGTCACAACCCTCGACCTCAGAAGTGCACCAAGCCAACCGGATAGGGATGATCCAGACCGTAGATTCTGCCTCGGAAAAACCTGAGGTATTCCTCCGGGCCTATCCTATAACCTGGAAAAGCGTAGAGTGTGACGGTGAGGTCTGGGGAAACCCCTCGGCCGCCATCCTAGACTTGGGATCATCGGCGGTCGCCATTTCTTGGAGATTGTTGGAGATTGACGAAACAGTTGGGAAGGGAAGGACACGTTCAGCCCCTCCGGCCGGATGAACTGTATATATACGCTACGGAAGATAGTATTTCATTGTAAAGGGCGAATAACGAACGTGCCTATACGGGTGGGGCGGGTGCATTGTTTGTGTGACGTGATTGTGCTGGATGTACAGGCATATGATGTTCTGCTAGGCATTCCGTGGCAGGCGGCGGTCGGAGCGCGAATGCACTTTGACAGCTGTAAGGTGGTGCTCACATCGGCCCACCCCAAACCCCAAACGATACCAATGAGACTGGCGGTGCGCACGCGCACCCAGCCKGYGCCTCGCCTCAYCACTAAAKCCCATCAAATCAACATGATCCGACGYCTGTCACCAGACGAAAATGAACCCTCGACGGAAACTGACAAGACTRATGCACCCGACCGATATCCGATCCGAGTACAGGATCGGTGSCGCCATTCTTGGCGGCGAGAACCACTGGAAATAGTTCGGAGCGAGTCCAATTGGTCGCACGCGTTCTCCTCCGTGGTGCAGGGGGAACCCCTGCTGAGGGTGTCCCGAATAGCTGACCTTTCGGAACCCCCTGCGTCCTTGTATCTCCGGACGGACCCCCTACCAGAAAGATTTACTGAGCTGAGGGGGCTGTGCGATTTATCTTTTCGACCTCCACGGCCCCTACTCACGAATGAAAAAGCCGCGATACTCCTGAAAGAGGGGGTGTTGTTTCAACCCCGAACGGGGGAGTATCGGTGGGGACCGAGGGAACTAGCGCACGTCTTTTCGGTCGAACCCTCGGCCGAACCCGCACTAGACAGTGACAGTGACATGGAAAGCGAGCCGATGAGTCCGGCGGACAGCCAACTTATTGCGACGGTCCTTTCTACGAAAACCGATAACTCTTTGTTTGGGGCCTCGCCCGATGCCAACGCGGCGGTCCCCACGGTTACGACGACGGTCTCCTTTCCTGGGGGAACCGTAGAAGTTCAGTTACCAGCCCGTGTTCCAGACGAATACAAGCGCCTCCTCTTGGCGGTTATACGGGCCTATCCTGAGGCCGTCAGCATTCAGGACCACGACATAGGGCTAACCCCTTTGATACAACACGCGATTGACACCGGGGATCACGCCCCGGTACATTGCTGACCGTACCGATATTCCCTTAAAGAAAGGCAGCTGGCGTTGGAAAGGGTACGGGAATTCGAGCGGTTGGGGTGGGTTGAACCATCGCTGGGACCATGGTCTTTTTCTGTGGTCCTCGTGCCAAAACGAAATGGCTCGGTTCGGGTATGTATCGGGTATGTATCGATTACCGGAAATTGAACGCCATCACTACCAAAGATGTGTATCCCTTGCCGCGAATCGATGATTTGTTAGATGCTATCGGGGCCGCTTGAGTCTTTTCCAAGTTCGATATCCGACACGGTTTTCACCACGTCGCAGTCCGACCGGAGGACCGACCCAAAACTGCCTTTGTCCTGTTTGAGGGCACGTGGCAATGGGTCCGGTGTCCCATGGGAATTTGTAACGCCCCTGCAACGTTTCAG